TCCCTTTATATGCCCGTTTGGACACAACGTTTCTCGCCTCGCGTACTCTTTTCTACTTTTGTACGATCGATTATTCCAAGATCGATGGAACTGGGATGCGGATCGTCGCCCTCGAGCAATGCACTACATATTCCCAATAGCGCTTGCGTGCATCTTTCAAGGATCCATCCAAATCTATTCTTATTGCTGTATTATAGACGTCAAGGAGCGCAGTTCAATAACTCTCGAACATTGAAATAATTTTTAAATTGCAGAAGTCGTTTAGCTCGCGTAGAGCCGCGCAAACAGTACATTTTCTGTATTTGTTACACATATATATGGTGTAAAAAATAAGATGTATATTATAAATTTTTATTTGAATATGGAATGTACATAATTATAACAACATTATTATAAATATAAGTATAATTGACAATGTAGGCGTTACTAATCTGATGGCCACCCGACATTTTCCATAAGCGATTCCATTCGCGATCCGACAGCTTTATCAGCCAATGTATTATCTTCCATAAAAATTAAACAATTTCCGTAATTGAAATTTTAATTTTGTTTCATTGAATGTCGAGAAGAAAAATGGCATTTTAATTTTAAATATCATATCGAGAGAGGATTTATAAGAAAAACTTCATGAGATAAAACAAAAAATTCCCTCGTCATTTTATATGTTATATTATTTTGATTGATTTTTTACAATAGCTAAAATGAAAAAATAATAATTAAATATTATCGTGTATCATATATCCAATTAGTTTGAATATATATTTTGTAAACAATGAATTTAACGCATTGAAAAATATTTCGCAAAACATCACGAATTCTCCCCGTTAAAATCCAAAGCAAAATTAATATTTTGCCATCCATAATGTTCATATTATATCATAATCGCTTTGTCATTGTTCAATTTTAAAAATATGAATTTCTAGAAAATGTATGACTAGCGTTAATCGCGTACGACCATTTGAACATCGATTCTCACATTTCTTTATCCTATACGTGTAAATGAATCTTCTTGTAATTTATAATAGAAAATATCAAACATTTATTGGCTATTGCTATTTATGTAAATAATTTAATTATGAACAAATAATTTACGAGATTAAGCCAACTATTGGCTTTACGATTCGCTCGTTCAATCCTATTTTTTGTTAGTTACAGTTTATACGGCTAATTAAGAAGAATTCCAAATTATACTTAATAACACGTGATATAATCATAATAATAATTATCATAATTATTATAATTTTCAATGTAAAAATTCAGTCACTCGGTAATCAAATATTTAAATCAATTAACTTTTTCAATTAGGGGCACACTGATTTAGATCTAAATGTTTAATATTTTGCTTTCGAATTATCTTAATAATCACTAAATAACATGATAAATATATAATGATTACAAATAAAAAAAAATAATAATAATAATATTATTATAATCAGTATACTATGTAATTATGATGGTAAAATTGATAATATTTATGTAATGACAATATTAGTTTGTATGAGAACGAAGATAAATCATAAATATAAAGGCATTTTCCATCCACTAACAACAACGTTTAAAAAAAAAATTTCTGTGTTGAAATGACCCGGTAACAATGACATTTACTTTATTCCTTTTATTTAATTTCTTTTACGATTTAACTATTATATTTTTTATATCATTATTTTTACGAGAATGATGATTGCAATCGTAATGCATGCATAACGTCATGAAAATTATCAAATATTTAACTTGAAAAGGAAAATCTGTAAAACTCGTATGTTAGAAAATATTTTGTAATAATTGATTTACGATTCACGATATTATTCGCTGTACGCATACGTAGGCAAAAGGCCTCAATAAATACTTAAATACAATTTCATTATCTTTACTTAAGGACATTCACTATTAATCGCACGATAAAGTTGAACAGAGAAGAATGTCGAATACAAGTGGAACACCGCGGCCACCCTAATGTCAATAATAATTCCTTCAACCTTTCACTTTCTTCAGCTTTTTACACTATTTTCCTACAACTTGACGTTTAATGACAAATCACTTAATACATAAGACTTATTACAATGCACAAACGTTCCGATGATTATTTTAATACTCATTTCTCAAACTTGTAATCACTTAGTAAATTATCGTTCGAATTTATTCCACGCCTATTATTAATAAATATAATAATTATGGTAATTATTTTTACGAATTTTATAAACGTTACTCATTGACTGATAAATCTTAAACAATAATAATGCCGGGATACGATAATTTAATTTAATTGTTCGATTACACTTTATAGGGTTCGGCATTTTATTCAAACTAACACTATTAAATGTTAAAATTGAATATGAGTAATGTGTACTTCTCGCTTACTTTTTATAATATTATTATTATTCTACGTTAATGGTTTATAAAAAAAAAAAAAATAAAAGAAAAGCTTGGATTAAAAAATGTATGGCATTTATTATTAAATTATTATTACATAATCATATAATATTGTTGTTATGATGCAAAAGCTCTTTTTTCTTTTATTCTAAAACAATTTAGCGACTTATGTTTACTAATTGTTATTTTATAGATTTAAGATTCTCATCTTACTTTTGTTGTCCTATTTTATTATATTTATTTTTCATATGTTTATTTATTTATTATATTATATTTTTAGTTTATTCGTATAATTTTTCGTTTATTTATACTAATATCTTATATTGTTATTAATATCAAAATAATAGTATTTTATTTAATACTTTTTTTTCATTATTATGGTTTATTAGTTTAATTTTGTTTATCTCATTATGACTTTTGCTTTATTTTCTAATTATCGTAATTAAATTACCGACTATCGCTCTAATTGAGGATTTCAATAATATCATTTTTTTTTTTTTTTTTTTTTTTTTTTTTTTTTTTATTAATTCAAAGATTTTTGCATGAAATGCGCTCCTCATGATAATTGTAGGCCGAAAATAAGTATTCATAATAACTTTGTAGTGACTATTAAAAATAATGAAATTTATATAAAAGTAAATTCTAAAAGGTTCAATCTTTTAGAGTCCGATGTATCGTTTATTATATTAATTATATAATACTACTAATTTAAACGAAAATTGGCTCGAACCATTTGGATTGTTAGCCTATGAAAATAATACTCTACCATAATACTCTGCAGAGATTAATTTCAATTACCAAATAATGAAATTATATTAATTTGGTAAATTTTTGCATCATTCGTATATGAATTGATGTGATGAAAATGTATTATAATTTCAATAATTTGTTCCAATGCAAAATTCAATATAACAATCTCAATCTATAATTGCCTGACATTTAAATAGAATTTTTATAATTACAATTATAACTACGAATATATCAGTTTACCTCTCGTAATAAAAACTTTTCAAAAACCATCATCCTTTAAGTTTTCAATTTAAGCAAATTATAAAAGTGTTTAAACATCTACGGTAAACTTTCAAGTAACTTAAACTTACCTATGTATGTTCATTATATATTTGCTTATTTTTTATCGATTTTTTTTTTCCAACTTGAATTTGAACGTCAGATTTTCTTTTGACAATGATCCGATGTTTCCTGCATAAAACTGGCATAAAACTGGCAAAATACAAAAACGAATGAATAAATGTTGTTGCTGATCTAATTAAATATGAATTGTACGTACGTGTGTATATTATGACATATCCAACGATTCGATTGTCATGTAGATTTTCATATTTTACAACAATATCAAAATTATTTTAAATGTCAGCATTTTGTGAATTCTAATCCTCTTAAGTTTATTTATTGTTCTTCGTGTAAAACTATTTCTGAAATGTATAGCATATAAATCTGCGTATGCTATTACGTGGAGTTGTCGCAAGCTCTCTTCGAAGTATTAATCATTAATGCTTATAAATATTAAAATTTATATCCAACTACAATAATACAAACACCTGAAAATTCACAATACAAACATCTGAAAACTACAATTATTAATATAAACATCAAAATTTGCGCTAAATAATTGAACTTTTGAAATGAAAGAATTTTACATAAATTTTCATTAGCGTTTGCACATTGTGCTGTTGATTATGTAAGAGTGTATTCGAGTCTCCTTTCACTCGAACTCCTTTCATCGCAGCTGTTTTCTTGAGCGAACGTTGATCCGACGTCGAGTGCGCAATTACATGCGCCAAACCTTCTTTTAACTGCCGCGTGTCTAGGGTCGAGCGAGCTTTTGTCTAATTTTTTCACATCTTTTTGGAAGAAAAAAAATTTTTCTGCCAAAAAAAAAAAACAAAACAATGTTGCCATTGTTGTCGCATATTATAAAGTGGATCGAAAGCTCTCCAATCGTGAAAAACGTTGCAACATTGCTTTGTAGTCTGGAATTTTCATATACTTGTAGTAAAAGTTATACAGCTGCCGAACAACGATGCGGATAAATAATTAATTCATAAACAATGAGTGTTGCAAAATTGCTCGAGATATATGCAGTGTGCTTCTTGAAAAATATAAAATTGCAAAGTCGCCTAAAAATTCACTTTCCCCGCTGTAAGCTATAAAATGTTAAAATATCATTATATGTCGAAAAGAAAAACAATACAAATAACAATTATTATATTGCATAAACATTCCTAATAAATTTTTTTCTTACAAAGTGTTCGTTTTTATCGGAATTTCGGCTATCATTTAATCACTTAATTCTCCTACAACCGATCCTCATAATCATAATAATTTAACCAACAATATCATGAGCAGTCAATACGTGTATTCTTTATGCCGTGCGCCGTTATTTTTGGTAATATTATTAGAAAAACAATAACTCGCGATTAAATAATTCATCTTCGCTCATCCATCAATCCGTTTTGTTTTCCTTTATACGACAAAGATGATGTTAAATTTTTATTATATTGAATTATCCCAACCTCCCTCTAGTCGCCCCACGCGTACGCTTCAAACACCATAAGACATAAGAGAAATGTTTTTTCAAGGGTCTGGGGCTCGGCGAATGTCCCGATCGCTGCTGCAACGTCCAAGGAGAATAATGAGGAGTTTCAACCGGTGACGCAATGCCTTAAGCGATAATGCTGTTAGCAAGTGGCGCATCCATACCGACGATCACCGGCGCCATCGAGGAGGAATACGCTAATAGCGAAGGAAATAGCGGCCACTGCGATGGCTACATTACCGATCACACCGACCTCACCTCGGATATCGACGAGTCCGAGTATCGCCGTGAGCTCCTCAACGACGTAAGTCTTTCGTGCACCTACACCACCTACTACCATAAGCGTAATTTTTAATTACGTTAATCCAGTCCAGTCGCCTTGTCCCATACGACGGACAGTTAATTCCCATACGCGGGTAGACGCGCTGCGCACGCGCAACTTGTTGAAATCAATTAATTATAAACCCGAGCGACTTCCAAGTCCCGACCAATTCCGGATGCAACTAAAGAAGAAGCCACTCCACCCCAGCCATTCAATGCCATACGAGCTTAATTAAACGTCCTCGCGAACAACGACAAAAAATCTTAATTATGAGAATAATTTTCAAAGAGCATGGCACGTCAATTGATTAATAACCGCATTACGATCATACGGGATGCTTGGAAATTTTCAATTTACGCAGTTGAGCTTTCAAGAAGAGAAACGATTCGACCTATTCGTCATATTACATACAATTTGGCTAAATGTTAACAGGGCTACGGTTACTTTTTATGATTTATCGTTCATAAATGCATGGAATTAGATGATTCAATTATTTTGGTTAAATATACTTTTATTTACGTTTTCAGAAATGGCGGCTACTGTTCGACAAGGTACGACTTTATTATCTCAAACACGTATTTGCGATTATCAACATATGACAGGGTAATTTTTCCAATTTATATAAGCATTCAATTAGAAAATATGAAGAAGAAATAATGAGATTCTTTATGTGCTGATGTTAATTAACTTTGATTTACAAAATTACATCAAAATTAAAGATGAATCGCTTATTGTAGCGATTAAAAAGTAAACAAGACAAAAAAAAAGACGCAAAATTAGGTTTTATATAGCGTGCAAATATTATTTTTCAATATTAACGGTCTTGAATACTTCTTAGTGGAACACCAAACCTAAGTGATAAAACAATTTGTTAATTCGCTAATAAAAATGCAATAAATAAAATAATTGTTTAATTCTTCATTTAATACTGGTATAGGATGTCAATTGTGTGAGCATTGGGAAATTGTATGATAATTAATATGAAAGCTCGTAACGCCAAGTTGATAAAATGACTACAGTAAACTATTAAACAATTTAATCGAGCACTGCAAAAGTTTTTCATTAAAACGTCCCATCGATTACAGTATGATCCCGAGGGGTTTGGAGAGATTCCAATCGAGGATTTCCTAATAGCACTGAAGAGTCCCGACTGGTTAAACGAGATCCCGATTAATAAAAGAGACATTCTTCTTCTTAGAGTGAAGGAATCACGTGCCGAGGCTGTAACATTTCAGGACTTCGTAAATGTGGTAATTAAAGATCCTCTTTTCAATCGCAATCAATATATTATTTGTCATACGTCACGAATGGCGAAATTCATGCTGACAAGAACTACCGCAATACAATCAGAATGAAATAAATAATAATTTTATAGAAAGAATTATTAGAACCTTTGATTATGCAACTTTTAATTTCAAACCATATTTTTTTTTTTTTTTTTTTTTTTTTTTTTTTTTTTAAACAATTAAATGTATTTCTCTTTACTCCTTGTCACTTCAGAATTCCAATTCCAATGGACCTGATTATCTTAATTGATGTTTGCTCGAATTAAAGGGTGTACATCAACATTGATTATCAATTTTTATAATAAAGATAATGCAATATTTATAATGAATGCAAAACTTTGTTATATATTAAAGTTTTGATTGACATGTAAACTTCCAAAACAATAATGTGATTCGGTATTAATGCATCGTTGAACGCCTGTGCTTTATGCAACCACTTATACGCCTGTGCGTGAAATACTTAGAAACTTTGTAAACAAAAGAAGAGCCAATAAAGGAAGAAGCTTAGGTTTATGTGTAAATATCGCTCGATGGCAATTAATAATTAATCAATAATCATCTATTTTTTTTTTTCATTTAAGCACAATGATACGATGAGTTTACACATATAAAAAATATTGATTTATTATCGGCGATATAATACGTTCGTGATGGTATGTTTTCTTGCGCTAACCAACTAATTGCTAAGATAAAATAGATAAAATAGTAGCTGAAACATGCAAGACTGTTGTTGCGTTTAGAAAAGGATAAGCTAAAATGAATTTCGTCCCCTTATAATATGCCCCTAGGTTAGAGTAATATTTATTTAGTCAATGAATCACCGAATAACCGCAGGACCAAGCTTACTTACGTTCTCTTTGGGATGGCTGAGGTCTAGAGCGGAGATTTTATATCAATAACCATGACTATTATTCTCCTTACTTCAAGATTAACGAAAATTGATTCGCGAGGGGAATCGAATGATGAAAAGTCGAAAGAAAAATGTCCTTATAACGGTGTAAAATTCTTTTACGCGCTGTCGTCTACAATTGTAGGAGGGTAAATAATATTCGATCTCATTCGTTTAAAATTGATGAAAGTGTAAATGACTATTCTATACATTAACACGAATAATTGAAAATTTCACCTATTATTAATTTTATTTACCAATTTTTCAAAAATATTGATTTTTATTTGCGTTAAATTATAACTTTACTCGCTTTCAAACGACCTTATAACTTACCATTTTCTCATGCAGATTATTCAAATACCGCGGGGCGGCACTTTTCTTATGCCCAAATCGATTAATAAAGTTAAATGAACGATATTTTTATTATTACTATACATGCAACTACATTTTATCATAATATTTGCTGGGGTGGGTGGGTGGGGGGGGGGGACAAAAAAAACATGAACTTCCGCGTTTCTTTAACTAAATAAAGTATTCATTTAGAAAATTTAGAAAATAGAATAATGCTCATACTCTTTATCATAAATTATCGTAAAAATTAAATTAATTAAACGGTTCGTTATAATAACATTTCATTTAAAAAAATATGATCAAGAATGATCGAATCTCAACAGTATGCATAAATAAAATGATATTCCATTTTTATAAGCAAAATAAAGTTGAAACAATTTCTTTCTTGAATAAGAAATTACTTTGTTTGTTATATGTTACAGTAGATTTTGATTTTATTGGATTATCATATAGAACAATATTTTAGTGCAAAATCTTGTAGATCCAATCAAGACTTTAATTTTTTAACTATATTTTAGGTTAATTAAAATTTTGATATCTATAACTTTACGAAATTAACGTCCATGCATATTCATATAAAACTATAATAATTACAACTATAATTTACTGACGTTAATATACGTTAGTAAAAATAAAGTTTAAAAATCCATGTTCGATCAATACACATGAATTTCTTTAGATAATTAAAAATTAACAACTAAGATATTGTAGATAGCATGAAAATAATATAAGAATTAGTCAATTTCAACAAATTTGAAATTCAAGTAATATATTTGAATTTTCGATTTTTAAATTTCACTATATTTTGTTAATTCCAAAGCTTTTACGTTATAATACAAGTTGATAACATTTCAAATTTTCTTAACATTATAAATTCATTTTAATCTCTCCTATAATCGTTTTCATTTTTATTTTTCAATTCTAAAATTAATTCTCCAAGATCGATAAGATTTCATTTCTTTAAATCTTTTCTATAACGTTACGCACGTTTTTGCCTAACAAACGAAAAAGCTGATTGTTTTTTTTTTGTTTTTTTTGTTGTTTTTTTTTGTTGTTTTGTTTTTTTTTTTGTTTTTTTTTTGTTTTTTTTTTTGTTTCCGTACCGAACTCGATACTGTACTCGATAATTACGTTTATCATCGTTTGCTTAGATATTTATGTACTTGCAAATAAATTTCTTTAACACTTGCTGCTCCGATATAATAGAGTTAGATTATAATGACGTTAGAATTATTGGTAAAGTGTAAGATATTGTTAATAAATAGATTATCATGCTACTGCATAAGTAATTACATTGAATTCGAATTGTTTTATATTATATCCTCTAATGATATTTTTGTAATTAAAATTTATTTATTTAATGACTTAATTGTTCTTTTATCAGATGATTTTTATTTATTAACGATCAAGCGCTCGTTGGTTACTAATTTATTTCTCCTCTCGGCAAAGCTCTCGAGGCAATTAATTTTATACACACAAGTGACATTAATCATTATAGAAACATGAGATGCCTAAAATACGCTAGCGACTCGTTTCATCCAGCCACTCTCATTTAAATGTATTACAATGCATTATTATAATTAATTCAATTACATTTATACGCGTCCCTCTCGTAAAATAACATCGTCGTTATTATTTTTATACTTATGCAAATTGATAAAAAAAAAAATAAAAAAAAAAATAAAAAAAAAAAAAAAAAAGGAAGAAAATTGTTCGTTTTTCTATCAATTGTATGTTACGCTGGGGATTAAAGGCGTAGGTCAATACATAATCTATTTGTTATCCATTAGTCTTTATATTCAAATTTCCTCTTTATTTTTATGGCGATGGTGAAGTGTTCATAAAGCTACGATCATTCGGTACTATTAGATATAGTAATTCTACCTTCGATAGACGCACGTTAATTGGAAAAATATATTTCGTAAATACGAATTATTAATACGAATATCAACTCAATGAGCACGAGCTTCGAGGAAAAGCTGTCAGAAAAAAGAAAATAACAATAATAGGATGAAGCAGAAAAGAAGAAGGATGAAGAAGAAGAAGAGGAGAGAGAGAGAGAGAGAGAGAGAGAGAGAGAGAGAGAAACAGACTCTACCCCGAGAAACAAGTATTTTACATTTAACTTTAATACCTCTTATCGTCGCAAATAAACGAAATCAATATTAATGGAAATAAAGGCAATAGGTTGGCAATTTTCCATTTTCTCGTGTAAATGAAAGTAAGACTTTTACGTAAGCGCTTGAGCCTACGCGCAGTTCCAAATTTAATTAGAGCTCAATTTACCATTGTCAATGACTAGACGCAGTTGGCAAAATAATAAAGCATCTGAGAGGACTCGGAAGACCAGCCGAGGACGAATATTGGATTCGAGTGAGAAAGATGCGAGTGGAATAAAGTAGAGTAGCGTGGGATAATGGCAGATGATTACATTGGTTATTTTCGACAGGCCGATCGATATATCGAATAAGTGTAAGTACAGTGAGGGACTGGAGTTTAGAATGTAGAGAGAGAAACGAGTGTAATTGAGCGGAATAGACTTCGTTACATCATTATCATTATACTTGGCTCTTATCGCGCGAGTCCACGTATTCGATAACGAGCGCTTGATTTATTAATTGTCCCGGACATAATGCATTGTGCATTAAAAGCGCAGAGGCTCTCCGCGCCTTGCGAAGCTGCACTCAAAGTGCCCCAGTGGCCCTAAGAAATAATTCCGGAGTACCTCCGGAGGCTTTGACGTCAAAGGGCGCCCGGGCCTCGACTGCAAGCAAGTTTCGGGACAGCAGTCGGTTGGGCCTCCTGGTTTCCCCAATGTCATTCCACCAATGTCGAGCAACCGTAATCCAGCTTTCGTAGACGAGATGACGAGATTCTAATAAATTTAGCCTAATTTTGTTCGTCGATCGTGATTTGTTACAATGCGAGTTGTTTGAATGGATGCCCGTATAGTGATATAGTGAGGGGGGGCGGCGGGGGTGGTGGGGGGGGGGGAGGGGGGGGGGGGGGGGGGGGGGGGGGGGGGTCTGGTGTTTGGAAAGGACGTTCCGACTGTATGTGGTTCGTAGGGAGTAATGTTTTTCCATGGCTGGATCGATTTTATCGGTTCGCTGCTGCAATTGCAATTGGCTATTGTATTATTGCTAGTACGAGCATTGGATAGGTTAAATCTCAATTTGATGACGATGGTTGATTTATGCTTGGTGCGACAGCTCCGAGCGAAATGGAAAATAATGCATTGCGAGTAAGGGATGCTGGGTAGCTTTTTAAATTTGCATTCCTTCCTCAACGATATAAGCATGAATTTAAACTGGCGAATAATGTTAAGCGCAATAACGTGGTCTTATCGTCGATAATTATTCGTCGATTAGCAAAATGAGAGGCCAAAAATCATTTATACGGCCAAACCTATAAAAAAAAAAGCTTGAAATTATCGCTCGGCTGACTGACGTTGTGAAATTCACAATAATTACATCCACTTTTATCGTCGTGTTATTTTTTGTTTCCCTCAGCTAATAAGAGCTTTTTTTTCTTTCTGTTTCTTTCCAACGGCGTTTTCGAATATTCCACTCTATTTCAATTGTATGTGCTTTAACTTTTTCGATGACGATTTTTAATTTAAATGTCTCTTAATTTGTCAACTCGTGTCTGCAAACACTGTGAGAATATTTCGGATGACTAACCTCAGGCTTTTATCATGTTACACATTCGTAGCGTTACTTAC